GGTCACCACAGAGCGTAACCTGAAAATCCTCAACCCGAAGCAACTTTAACCCGAGGTATGACTGTATAGTGTATTTTGATGGCTACTAGCCTCTGTGACTATGTTCTACCCAGTGGCAGAGCAAGCCGATCGGGCACCTGGGGTGGCGCGCATGCCCTGCACCCAGAGGCAGGGCCAGCAGCAGCCCGTGGGGCGGGGTAAGCCGGGGCAGGACACTCCATGGGGCCTCCAAGGAGTCTGCTCAGCTACCCTACAGCTGGGCGGGAGGTGGAGGGCAGACCGTTTGGGGCAGCATGGAGCCTGAGGGTGCCCAAGCCACCACGTCACTCCCAGGAGAAACGCATGGCTTGGGAACGCTGCAGGCCCCATGGTGAGTGCCACCCAGCATTTTGTCAAAGCCCCTCCTCAGTGGTGACACATGGGGCAGCCTGCCGCCACCACACCCCCCTTCCTCCACCCCTGCTTCTAACTCTAGCATGCCCCTGAGTATCAGAAGTAGGCAGAGTGCTGTTGCTGAACTAGATGTGCCACCTTCCTATCTAGATATCATAAACTCTTCAAAAGTAAAAACCGTCAGGGCAGCTGAGATGGCTTACTCATCTTATATGACGAGTGTCATAGTTTCTTAAATAACATCAAGTTATTTAAGTGTTACACACTGGGGATCATGTCTCAAAATTCCTTTGTGGCCAGAAAGAGCCGCTTATGAATGTTTCTGAGAAACACATTGCAAAATGTGCCCTGAAAATTAGAGGTGGAAGATAATGGAATGTGGGGAGATCTGGCTCTCATGAGCCCATAATGACGTCATAGAATCAGTTTCAGTCTCTCATTTTTTTCCAGTTTTTTTTTAAATAATATTTATTACTTTTCCAAAAAAAAATAAACACTAAAAAAAAATACAATACAATACATTAAACTAACAAAACAAAACAAAAACAATAAAATAAATCAAACAATTTCATTATCCCATCTTTTATTCACTTCTTTCCACGACCTCCTCACACCTCCCTTTTTGTATTCCACTTCTCATTTTTTTCCAGTTTGAAGTTCAACTCTCCATATTTCAAATCAGTTTGTCTTGTTATTTTTTTTTAAGGCCTCATGTAAATTCATCGGTTGTTTACTGCAAATTTCTGCCCATTTATGCATGCATTTTTGTCTGTCGTACACATTTCTGCATATTATATAATGCATAACGGCTGGAGAATGTGCAAAATGCAGCTGAGAGATGCACTTTCCCCAAGGCCTGTTGGAGATTATGGATACTAACCAGGAAATGTGCACAATTCCCACTATATATATGACTATGTGCACATTGTCCACAAAGCCTGGTCAGCATGCATGTTTGTTATGCATATCAACCACTTGGCCTACATTACCCCTAAAATAAAGAACCCCTAATGTGTGGGTGGGTGCATATGTATGTGCGTGTGTGCCCTATAATGAACACTCACTCCTCTGACTGTGGGCGCCCTTTGTGGGACCTTGCGCAGCACCCCGAGCCTCATGGGACTTACCAGCCGGTTGTGCTGACCCACCTCTCTGATGCCGCAGCCATCGGGGGTTCCCGCCAAACCTCAATTTAAATTATCCAATCGGTGGCATTGGTGGAGGCGGGACCAGCCGAGTGGGCCATCAGTGAGCAGGCTTCATTCCAGTCTGCTCATGATGTTTATTAGGGGGAGGAGCTGACAACAGAGCACCCAGTTAGTTGTCAGTGAACTCCCCTGCGTTGCACGGAATAGGGGGGTGGGCTGCCTGTGTACTGTCTTGCAGTGCCCCTACCCTGGATCCGATTAACCCTGATGAGCCTCAGTCCCCCAGCTGGGGGGCTGGGAGGGATACACGCCCAATGAGAGATACACGCCCAATGCCTGAGCCAAGGTCTTTCGTAAATCTGAAAGAGTTAATAAAGTTGTGGCCAATTTAATCCTATAACACGTTGTCATGAATTACCTTATTCTTTCTTCCTGGTGGTCTCTTAGGGGTCGGGGGGGTCTCCGCCTGGGCACGCAATTTATATAGCATACCAATTGCATGAACAGAGACTGGCGTGAACAGTACTTCCATTTATTTAAAATATTTTAAGGCCATTTATCTAGGCATATGACCATAGAAGGCTGACATATACTGAGTCAGATCATCAGACCACCTAGTATTGCCTTCTTCTCAGTATTGCCTCAGTATTGCCTTCACTGACTGGCAGCAGCTCTCCCAAATTTCAGGGAGGAAATTTCACCCCTCCCATTGCAAGAATCTGCAGATTTTCCAGAGAGGAGGGGGCGGATTGTGCTTGCTACTTATTCCGCTCCAGCCTCACTTCAAAGGGAGAGACTGAGTGTTATCTCTGTGTAGATAAGGTCGCTGCAGAAAGCAGCTGTAACACTCAGTGCAGTCCAGCGTCTCCATTTGTATATAGTTTGTATAGTACAGTAGCTGTAGTGAATAAAAGAAGATATTCTTCAGCGCTGTCGTCCGAGTGATTTATGCTCTGCTATAGTGCACGACTGTCTTCTGGAAGTGAGTTCGGTGCTCACAGCTCTGAGTTGTGAGTCCACAGCACTTAGACGTGTTCCTGCAGAAGAAGGTCTCTGGAAGTGCTACCCCAGCTCGCCTGGCCCAGTCAGGGCTGAAGTGGTTGAGCCCAGTCAGTGGCACTGGCTCAAGGGCAAAGCTGACAGTCTCTCCCAGCCCTATTTGGAGATGGTGGGAAACCAAACCTGAGACCTCCTGCATGCAAATTAGCTGATCTGCCACTGAGCTACAGCCCTTCCCCTAAGCAGCTTAGAAGCAAAACAAAAGATATAGGAATAGGACAAAATGTAAAACTTCAAATACACTTGAAATCAATGCTTGACGTAAATATCAAAAAGTTATGTGTAAGAAGTTCTATACTAACTATGTATGGAGGTCAGTGACAGGGCCTGCTGCTATGATCATACCCACCCACCCATTGGTTGTTCTGAGATTTAAGACTCCACACAAAAGGACTGACACTGAACGGAAAGAAGCTACAAAGAAGACACAGTCAGAACCCAGAAACGGTCTTTCAAAAAGAAGGGGAGAGAAGAAGAGAGGGGATGTGTGTAGATACCATGCTATGTCATAATTTAGCTGTGGTTTCTGAAGCTCACTGAGTCACAGATGTTACCTTTAACAACTGATTTGTCAATCGTCACCCACTTTCTGACAATGACATTGAAAGGATAAAGAGTTAAGCTGAAACTGCATATCCGTTTCCTTCCTAACCTGATGCTGAATTTAGCAGCAAAATAGCAGGAAGGAATGACTTCCTTCTTTTGCTACTTCCCTTCTCTTGAAATTCTGGATAGCACTTGTGGACATCTTTTGTCCACTCCTGCATGAAAGATACCTGGTCCTTGAAATTATATCCATCACGTTTCCAAAAGCAGTTTGCCTTTCTCTCTTTAGCCAACACCTCTCCAGTAAAATGATAAGACTTCTCAACAGATGCCCCACTTGGGGGGGGGTGCTGCCATGCCTGCTTGGAAAACCACTCTCTGAAGCACCTCCCACTCACCTTTAAACATCTCACCTGCCTCCACCCTGCTCATGCTGCTTGCTTACCTGTCTCTTGGTTTGTCATCTTGCTGGAGTTCCTGCAGCTGCCAACAAACTGCAGCGTGATAAAAACCCTACAGTTTTATTGTATAGTAAGATATATGAAGATTTCATTTGGTGGTACACAGGTCATTGTTAGCATTTGTCTGTTTCGCCTCAGTCTGCCTGTTTGTAACATCACAGCAGGTAAACCAATGACAACCAGGGAGACTGCAGTACCTCTGCTTGCCGCAGCAAACTGTGACAGGCTCAGGCTGCTGGTGAGACTCAGACCATGCTATAGAACACAAAGGCTTTGTATCCAAATCTACTCCTACCCAGAAACCCATTAAAATTAACGTGCATAACTAACTTAGGTCCATTAATTCCAGTGGGCCTACTCTGTGGAAAACCTAGTTGGATAAAAGCAAAAAAACCTGAGATACCCAGTTTTTAGCACCACCCTTCTGTTAAAGGGGCCCAACCCATTTCAGTGGTCTCCTACTATGACAGAGCGGGGGATACTCTGGTCTCAGTGGGATTTCTGTAAAGGAGTCATCCGAGTCCATAGGGTAAGCCAAACCACATCCTTGGTCCAGAGGAGTACTTGATGCACAGGCTCCTCTGGTAGAAGCACTTCAGGGTCTGGATGCTGCATCCCCTTCCCTCTTTTGGCTAGGAGTGCTCAACCCCCAATGAAGGGGAATCTGACCACAGGGTCATAATAATCAGAGGGATAGGGCAGGCGGGGGGGGTGGTAACCTAATGCCTAAATTATGAGGAACAGCTGACTAAGGCAGATTTCTGTGTTCATCTAGCACACTTACACCAAGTCCTAAAGGTAAAGGGACGCCTGACCATTAGGTCCAGTTGTGACCGACTCTGGGGTTGCGGTGCTCATCTTGCTTTATTGGCCGAGGGAGCTGGAATACAGCTTCCAGGTCATGTGGCCAGCTTGACTAAGCTGCTTCTGGCAAACTAGAGCAGCGCACGGAAACACCGTTTACCTTCCCTCCAGAGCGGTATCTATTTATCTACTTGCACTTTGATGTGCTTTCGAACTGCTAGGTTGGCAGGAGCAGGGACCGAGCAACGGGAGCTCACCCTGTCGCAGGGATTCGAGCCACCGACCTTCTGATTGGCAAGTCCTAGGCTCTGTGGTTTAACCCACAGCACCATCCGAGTGACCCGAGAAAGCTGCCTTTTACAACATCAGACCATTGGTCCATCTAGCTCAGTAATGTCTAAACCAAACTTGGGTCTCCAACTGATTTTGGACTACAGTTCCCATCATCCCTGACCACTGGTCCTACTAATTAGGGATGATAGGAGTTGTAGTCCAACAACAGCTGGAAACCCAAGTTTAGGAAACCCTGGTGTAAACTGACTGGCAGCAGCTCTCCAGGGTTTCAGAAGAGGGAATTCTGAGTCCTACCTGGAGATGCCAGGTATCAAACCTTGGACCATCTGCAAACAAAGCAGATGCATCACCTCTAAGCTATGGTCCATCTCCCATTTGATACCTGAAAAATGCTGCAGAAGAAAAAAGTTAACTACATTTGCCATTTTGAGAAGCTGCAGAAAATTCAATGGTTATTTTCCTGGTGCTTCGTCTCAAACGATTGGCCTACAAAGAAATATAAGAGGGAGAGAAAGAAGTCCCAAACTGCCCATTTTTTAGATTTCAACAAGAGTCATGTTCCAGCATGCTAAGCAAACGGGCCAAGAGGAATAGAGGGCTGTAAAATGAATTCATCGGTAATGGAGATTCAAAATGCATTTGGGTGACACAAATGTGATGGGAGCAAATTAGACACAATAAAATAATGGAGCATTAGTCTTTGTATAATTAATTTGTTACTTGCTGACATTAATTGCACCCTTCCTTTCAAATCCCCGAGTTGCAATTCTCAATCAAATGCTTCCTAAGCACCTTGAAAGACAACGTGTGGGACATGATGCTGGGACGCTGGTTCCTTGGACACCTCCAGGGACCTGCTAAATTATTCCTCCTTGTCCAGACTTTGTTTCTGAGTTTGTATATTTTAAGATTTCAGCATTTCAAAATATGGTCCATTACTGTGATGTGTAGCTGAAAAAAGGCAGGCACGAATGGGAATATCTTGTTTTATTGGGTATTTTGAACAGTGTGGAACAGCAGCAGAATAAGCTAATGCTATTCTAGGTTGCATCAACAGAAGTATTGCATCCCAATCAAGGGAAGTAATAGTACCCCTCTATTCTGCTTTGGTCAGACCCCACCTGGAATACTGTGTCCAGTTCTTGGCATCAGAATTTAAGAAGCATATTGACCAGCTGGAACGTTTGCCGAGGAGGGCGACCAAGATGATAAAGGATCTGGAAGCCAAACCTTATGAGGAACAGTTGAAGGTATGTTTAGGTGTTGCTCTGACTCTCCCGTGATTTCCCAACTTCCCCCCTCATTTGCCTCTGAACTGCAACCTCCCTCAAACCCCTGCTGTAAATCTATACTGTCTTCTACTTCCTCCTCCCAGGAAGGGTCAGACTGGGGAGGCAGTTGCCACCATTGCCCAGTCCCTGAAAAAAAGTAAGATTAACATCTCTTGCTCTGCCCACTTTTGCCTTCAACTCCACCCGCCACTGGCATGTGACCCCCAAAAAGCTGCCCAGGAGGAAATGAGGCCTTCGGTCTGACAGTGGAGCCCAGCTCCTCGCATCAGATTGCCTTGGCCAACACTGAGTGCTAAGCTCCTCTAGAGAGTCAGCTTCCGAGCCAAACTCTCCAGCGATTTGTCTTCTTCCCATCATAAATGATAGCAAACTCTAGACCTCCCTGCCAGCTCATGCCATCCAATGCCAAGAAAGGAGGCCAACGTGTGCCATCTTTGCTGTTGTACAAAGGATAAATATAGTCAAAGTCAGATTAATATTTCCAAGATTACTCATTTCTCCTTGATAGAGAAGCAAAGATCATGCACAAGATGACAGAAACCCATCTGGGATTGTAAAAGTCACCATATGGATGTCTTTAGCTAATTATAGTTATTTATTTATTTTTATATGAAGGAATTGAAAAAGCAAGATCCATCCGTTTTTTTAAAAAAAAATACTATTTTTTTTTCTATCAGTGTTTGCCCCGAATCTCAGGATGCCAACAGATGGGTTGAATACAACATCTTGTTATGTGTTTGCTCACCTCTTATTCACAGTTCCTTCATTTCACATAATACAGGATTTCCTCATGTCACCCTTTAGCTTTTAAAATGAAATTTTAGCAGACAGGGAATATATTCCAGCTCAGAGTATTCTATGGAATAGCAGTGCGAAGCAACAAATTCTGCTTATGGAATAATGTTGGTATAGTGTAATGTTGGGTTTCGGAGCAGCAGCAGAGAAACCCAATTTCAAAGCCATGTGTTATGTCCTGACCTCAAGCAGAAGCCAAGAGGTGTAGGACCTTGGACAGTTCCAAGTGAACTGTATGTATTAGCTGTGGAGGCTAAGATCATTAAGTTGCAAGCCTAAAACTGCCTTCCTCCATCACTGACCGCCTGATATTTAGCCATTGCTCTGGTCCTTGACTTCTGCCTGAAATAAACTATGTCCGTATAGTCCAATAGACAGCTTGCAGGCTCAACACTGCAGGCAGAACCCAACCCAGGACATCTTGCTGCATGAAGTGAAGCTCAAGACCCCACTAAACCCCACACAGAAGCTAGTCAAACTGGTAGTTAACTGACACTGGCTCCAACCCATAAAAGCATAAGATGAACCTGCTGGATCAGTCCATGGCCCATCTAGTCCAGCAATCTGTTCTCACGGTGGCTGACCAGATGCTCGTGGGAAGCCTGCAAGCTAGACATGAGCCCAACAACATTCTGCACACCTATGATTCCCAACAGCTGCTATTCAGAGGCATAATACAACTTGCACCTTAATATCAGGAAGACAAAGGAAATGGTGTTGGACTTTTGGAGGAAGAGAGGAGAACTAGCCCCGCTGTACATCGGGGAGGGCTGTGTGGAGAGAGTCTCTTCCTTTAAATTCCTAGGAGTTTATCTCCGTGAAGACCTTACTTGGAAAACAAATACAACCCAAGTGGTTAAGAAAGCCCAACAGAGATGCCATCTCCTCAGAGTATTGCGAAAGAACAATGTCAGTCAACATTTGATGATCTCCTTCTACCGGTCCACAATAGAAAGTGTCCTTTCATACTGCATCACGGTGTGGTACGCTGGTTTGACATCAACTGATAGGAAGTGCCTACAGAGGGTGGTGAATACAGCACAATATATTATGGGCTGTCCTGTGAATCCACTGGATGAAATAGCGGAAGAACGTTGCCTCAGGAGAGTGAGGAAAATTCTCAGGGATGATTCACACCCTGGCCGGCACTTTCTTGATCTCCTGCCCTCAGGCAGAAGATATAGAAGCATGATTAGTCGCACCAACAGGGTAAAGAACAGCTTCTATCCGTGGGCTGTTAGGCTGCTAAATGAAAAGATAACAACAGGGCAACTGACTTTCGGGTTTGGTGGGTGTGCGTCAGTAAACGAGGGGAATTAAGACTAAGAGAGCTGAGTGGGGGGTGCTCGTGTAATCTCACTGTATACAAGTTGTACAAGTGACAATCAAGTATTTCAAATGTCAAAATACCTTTAAAAGTGTAGGTAGAACATAGCCAACTCAGGCCCCAAATATCTGAATTAATGCCTCCTTCTCTACAGTGTCCTGAGATTGGTGGATGGAGCCCTCTTGTTAGTTCCTCCACCCTCATAGGCTTGAGGGGTGCCTGGAGAAAGGGTATTCGCTGTAGCAGCTCCTAAACTATGGAACTCCCTCCCCGCAGGGTTACGTCTGGCATCTTAATTATACAGCTTCCAAATTAATATGTTGAATATGCACCTCTTTGTGCTGGCTTTTCACACTTGCACACATGTCTGTCTGCCACTTGGCCTGTCCTGAGACCCCATAACTAGCCGGCTGCCCTCAGCTGTGGCGGAGGGGGGCAGCAGAGGACACATTGCCTGTCTTGAAGTAAGATTCAGTGGCTGGTCCAGTTGGCTTCTGTATGGCGAATGGGGACACCATGTTGCCCTTTGCTCAGGCAAACTTCTGCAGTTTGGGCTACAGAAGAATCGGCATTTAGCCAATGAGTTTGCTGTGAGTACTGAGCATTGTGAAGCAGATAGTGAATCATTACAATCCCCAAGAGAGTGAAAACATTATACATTTGGAAGTGAGCAACAGCATATGTTTACGCTTCCTTAAAATCAGCCTGAGGCCATTTTATTTTTAAAAAATGTCACTCTCCAGGATAATGCCGAGCATGAAGCAAAATATGAGTGTTTCTACATGCATACCTTTTGTACATCTGTTTTTTAGCTGAGCTCTAATTGCACAGCCAGAGAGACATTTGTTACTCTCAACAAGGAGCATGCTATTTAATGATTTACAATGGAGGGAAAGCATCACCGTGGAAGGAGCTGAGATATATCGTCATATATCATTAATAGTGCATTAACCTGCAAGGTGCTTGGTGAGCACTGTTGATCTTGTCACAACAACAGTGGGTACAGGGTGGGCTCCAAGGCTGAGGGCTGCTCTACTCAGATTCCAAAGCAGATTCGCCTGATCTGATCTGGGCAGATTGTGACCAAGATCAGGTCAATGGCAGACTTCAGAATCGGTCTTAAGGGCTGTGTGCTGACTCTGTTTCACCCTAAAAAAACCAAAATCCTTTAGAAGTTCAAAAATATTGTATGATATTCAGAGCAGACCCATTGAAACAACAACAACAACAACAACAGTGGTACCTCCAGTTGTGGACGGGATCTGTTCCGGAGCTCTGGTTGGATCCCGAGGTTTCCGTAACCGGAGGGACCGCTTCTGCACATGTGCGCACAGCGGCAGACAGTAGACTGCTTTTGCGCATGCACATGGTGTGGTAGAGTGCTTCTGCGCATGCGCGCATGGGAAAACCTGCAAAAATACTTCTGGGTTTGCCATGTATGTATCCCAAAGGATACGTAATCGGAGGTGAATGTAAGTAGAAGTACCACTGTATTATTATTATTATTATTATTATTATTATTATTATTATCACCTGCCTTTCACCTTTATGCACTATTGCATGTGTAGGCAAACTAAGGCCCAGGGACCGGATCTGGCCCAATCGCCTTCTAAATCCAGCCCGCGGACTGTCTGGGAATCAGTGTGTTTTTATATGAGTAGAATGTGTCCTTTTATTTAAAATGCATCTCTGGGTTATTTGTGGGGCATAGGAATTCGTTCATTTTTCCCCCAAAATATAGTCTGGCCCGCCACAAGGTCTGAGGAACAGTGTACCAGCCCCCTGCTGAAAACGTTTGCTGACCCCTGCAACTATTGCATCAAGACTCTCCATGCGCAGTGTTGAATGGATGTGTAGCACCCATGTGCACTTGTTAAACATTGTCAAATGAATGTTGGTGTTCATATATGGAGGATCACTTTAAGATTGGGTCGGTGCCCTCTTTTGGGGAGAGCCAGTGTGGTGTAGTGGTTAAGAGTGGTAGACTCGTAATCTGGTGAACCGGGTTCGCGTCTCCGCTCCTCCACATGCAGCTGCTGGGTGACCTTGGGCTAGTCACACTTCTCTGAAGTCTCTCAGCCTCACTCACCTCACAGAGTGTTTGTTGTGGGGGAGGAAGGGAAAGGAGAATGTTAGCCGCTTTGAGACCCCTTCGGGTAGCGATAAAGCAGGATATCAAATCCAAATACTACTACTACTACTTTTGTACTCCTTTGCATGCCCACCACAGATAGGGGAGAGAAGACTTAAGTGAGGTAAAGAAATTGATAGCAGATTTCCCTTGTGTAAGCCAACCTAGTGCCCTCCATATGTTTTGGACTAGAATTCCCATCAGCCCTGGTGCTTGCTGGGGCTGATGAGAGTTGAATTCTGAAACATCTGGAGGTCATCAGTGAGATGAAGGTTGGTGGATGCTCAGTCATTGTACAAGATCTGGAATATTAAGGGGGGGAAATGAGGTTCCTAACACTTCCTGTTCCTCTTTGAAAACTGGACCAAGTCTTTTGGAATTTCAGAATCTTGGGAGAAATCAGATGAAGAGCATGGAAGCATGTCATTGGATCACGATTCTTGTAAGTCACATTAATGCACAGACAGCGGCCCCATCTGCACTATTCATATAAAGCAGCATCATACCACTTTGAACAGTCATAGCTTCCTCCCAAGGAATCCTGGGGACTGGATCCCACCTGGGGCTGCCATTTTCGTTTCCCACTATGCAACAGAATGATGCTACATAGAGAGCATTCTGAGAAATTCAAAACGTCATCTCGCAGATCCAGCCACACAGCATGAGGAGGCCCAGGACAAGTGTGCAGGAAGAGGATTCTAGATGTCAGTACCCACTATAATCATTGTGAGCTAAAAGTTTGCAAATAAAGAAGAAGAAGAAGAAGAAGAAGAAGAAGAAGAAGAGTTTGGATTTGATATCCCGCATTTCACTCCCTTTAAGGAGTCTCAAAGCGGCTAACATTCTCCTTTCCCTTCCTCCCCCACAACAAACACTCTGTGAGGTGAGTGGGGCTGAGAGACTTCAAAGAAGTGTGACTGGCCCAAGGTCACCCAGCAGCTGCATGTGGAGGAGCCGAGACGCGAACCCGGTTCCCCAGATTACGAGTCCACCACTCTTAACCACTACACCACACTGGCTCTAAAAAAGAGCCAGTGTAGTGTAGTGGTTGGAGTGTTGAAGAGAGCAGGGTGAAAAACCCCAAATCAGCCATGGAGCTCACTGAGTGGCCTTGGACCAGTCAATCACTGCCTCTCAGCTTAACCTACCTCACAGGGTTTAATTGTGTGGATTAATTAAGAAGAGGGAGAACCATGTATGTCACCTTGAGGTCCTTGGAAGAAAAAGGAGGGATTAAAATAAAATAAAATAAAATAAAATATACTGGCCTGTTCTGTACATACCAAAGTGATTTTACTAGAGCATGAGAGATGGGTTAATTTTATTTTACTTTTTTCCTTCTTCATGCTAATAAATAGGCCTTGAGGATATGAAGGCCCTATCCCACCTGGACCAGGCAGGATCATTTTCCTCCTAATTGCTGCTTCCCCCTCTTCCGCCTCCCCATCCCTTCTAAGCCGCTTTAAGCTCCCGCCAGGTCTGCAGACTGGGAAACCGAGAAGGAGAACCCTTTAAGAATGGAGGTATTCATGTTACATTTGCTGGGCAAAATGGATGTGTAATTACATTACTGCCATGCACGGAGATAATAAGGCAGGCCAGATGTGAGTGGTGCGCCACACTTCTTGGCCTGGGGCTAAAGCTGTGTGGTGCCAGATGGCAGTGATGCCGAGACGCTGGGCAGAGAGGGGAGAGGGACAGGCAGTGCGCTCTCTGAGTGCAATTGCACACACACAATCTCAGACCAAGGCCAATTCATTGACAGCTCTGCAGCCTGTTGGCTCATCTGCCTCACTTGGAAATTCTAAGCATGAGCTGCAAAAGAGCCTCCCTTGCTTTTCAAGGCAGAACCACACAACTGGAATAGGGCTGTGCGGTTTAACGTCTGACCTCGGATGCACGACCATCCTGATACTATCCCCATCAATCTGTTTTTCAGATCCTCCCAGCGTGCTGCAAACAGATGGGTTGCACAACCAGCGGCATTTGGCTGCTTAAGACGGTGTTGGCCAAACTTGGTGTCTCCAGCTGTTTGGGGACTACAGTTCCCATCATCCCTGACCACTGGACCTGTTAGCTAGGGATGATGGGAGTTGTAGTCCAAAAACAGCTGGAGACCCAAGTTTGGCCAACGCTGGCTTAAGATGATGTAGAACAGGCTTCCTCAACCTCGGCCCTCCAGATGTTTTGAGACTACAATTCCCATCATCCCTGACCACTGGTCCTGCTAGCTAGGGATCATGGGAGTTGTAGGTCCAAAACATCTGGAGGGCCGACGTTGAGGAAGCCTGATTTAGAAGATGACACAGGAGAAGGGCCCTAGTGGTGGAGCAACTGCCTTGCGTGCAGAAGGTCCCAGATTCAATCCTTGGCATCTTCAGGTAGGAACAATGTTCCCCTGCATGAAAACTTGGGGAACCACCACCAGTCAGCCTAGGCAATGCTGTGCTAAAAGGACCAGTGGTCTAACTCAGTATAAGGCCACATTCATACCATGTACTTAATGCCACGTTGTCTTCTGCCGACCCCTCAAAGCCAGTGCACTACACAGGGCAGGGCCTCAGTGGTGGCAGCCTCTCCTCCTCCTGCTCTCCAGGAGCCCAAGGGAGGAGGCCAGCAGCAGCAGAGTGTCAGGAGTGCGTGCAGGAGCCAGGCCCTGTGACTGGTAGGCCTTCGCAGGACTGGGGTTTTCCTAAGTTTATTCTGAAGAGCCAAGGCACGGCCGCACTGGTGAGGCCACTTGGTAACTCACAGCACCTGGTGGCAAGAGCCGGGAAGGGATATAAGGTCAGCATTTCCCTTTGGCTCTTTGCCACAGCAACACTCTTCCTGCCTTGCTGTGTTTGGCTTCTTGACTCCTTGCTTTCTGATTCTCGGACCCTTGACTCTCGGCTCTCTGACCCTCGGACCCTTGGCCTCCTGGCTTCCGGACTCCCATTCCTGCTCCCACCCCGCTATCTTGCCCCCGGTCCCAACGTCCTCTGCCAGGACTTCGACCGCCCGTAAACTGGACCATGACACAGAGAGGCAACAGGGATGCTCACTTGCCTCAGCTCAGGACAAGCACCAATCTATCCTCCTCCCTGAGTTTGGTGGCAGCAGCACTGGTAGGGGGAAATAGGGACATTCCGAGATCAAATAGGAAGCTGGGATAGCTTTCATAGTTCTGGTACTGTTCCTGGAAAATCAGGACACTTGAAGAGTATGATATGAACCCTTCCTTCAAACCCCACCTTTTCCTACATGTACTCCCCCCCCCCACCTTCCCTCCCTATTTTTGCTAGATAGTTAGTGCTCCTAATCCTGTCTTTTCTCACTCTCTCCAGATGTCTGTGAGCTCAGGCAGTGATGTGCAACTTGTGTGGAGGGTCACACAGTCCTCAGCTGAGCCCACCTACAGGACAGGGTTAAGTTCTGTTGTGGCATTATAATTCATGGATAAGTAGCACTGGTATTCACATCAATTTTTTTAAAAAGAGAACATCAAGATGTCTGGGGCAAAGCACTTGCGGAGGAAGTTCCCGCTCCAGAACATGTTTCCTCTGTTTTAGTACACAAAAACTGTGTGTTCCCTATGCAATTTTAATTTGTGTTTTGGATGCTTCAAAAAACCACCTCGCCTGACAAGTCCTGGTGCCATTCCTTGCATGTATTCCTTGTTGTAACAGGGGCGGGGAACCTCAGGCAAAATACATCCCTCCCTGCCTTTCTAATTGGCCCCTTGAGCGTTTCACAGGCCCTACCCCTCTGAAGCCCCACCTTCTCTCCCCCAGCCCACATCTCCCAATGGCCTTGCTTCTACATTTTCTCTGAGTGTCTTTGCCTGGCATTAATCAGTAGAGTATAATGATGGACCTGGGCTGGATCTAGACATATTTAAAAAAACATTTCAGGAAAACGTGTTGTAAACCTCATAATGGGGAATCAGGTTGCCGAAAGACAGAACTCCGCAGCGCCATCTGGTGTCAGTTTTATAACACGCTTTTAAAAACAACAACAACAATGTAGCTGTGTGCCTGGAAGCTAACTGTGCATACTGTTACAGTGGATCCATTCTGGAGGCCCGTTCACAACATGAAAAGTGTGCAACCTGAAGTGCCATATCTGTGCAGGTGCGCGGCATGATTTAGCACTTCTGCGCATGCGCGAGCGGCGAAACCCGGAAGTAACCCTTTCCGGTACTTCCAGGTCGCCACAGGACGCAACCTGAAAAAACGTAACACGAAGCAAACGTAACATGAGGTATCACTGTATTATTCTTACAAAATCCCCTAATTAAACTGGAATTCAGGGCCAAACAGGCCAGAGGGGCTTTATTACATGGATAGGGAACTATGGTTCCCAGGAACCAAATGTCTGGTCTCTATCTGTTCCTCGGGTCTCTTTGCAGGCCACATACCCTCTTAGAAAAATGGCACCCTTTATTGGCCCTTGCTTTTCACCTCCTCTGTTTTGGCCTGGCTGGAATGTATTTTTGAACTATGGTGATGCCAGCATGCCTCAAGGACACTTGTGTTCCGGTAGGCAGCCCCATAGCTCTGCCCCACAGCATGGACTGCACTGGCAGCATCTTTCTGGGGTTCTGGGCTGGGAGCCTTTTGCCGGCCCTGCCTAATGACGTGAGGGATTGAACCTGTGACTTTCTAATACAAAACAAATCCTCTGCTGTGGGACTTCAGCCCTTTCTGGAGGCAGCTTATACAGAGTCAGATTCTTGAATTATTGATGGATTGGTTGCAACACCACCATTTAAATGAGGTGTTTAAGGGAGATAAAAAGAAAAATGGTTTTGATACAGTAAGATCTAGGTTGGAGACAGATTTATTGGATGATAAGAAGAAAATGTACAAATTACTTTTGGAGTGGCATGTTAAAGATGAAGAGGTTAAAGGGGTGATGATACAATGGGCTAAAGATTTTGGATATAATATTCAGTTAGAATCGTGGGAAAGGCTGTAGAATGAAGGTATTAATTTTATTGCATGCAGCGCACTTAAAGAAAATGTGGTGAAAATTATGTAGAGATGGTATTTAACACCATCAAAACTTGCTAAAATGTATAAGACAAGATCTAATGAGTGTTGGAAATGCAAAGAAAAGGAAGGTATCTTTTACCATATGTTGGTGGACTTGTAAAGAGGTAAGGGCTTTCTGGGAAATTATATATAATGAGTTAAAGAAAATGTTTAAAAACACTTTTGTTAAAAAAACCGGAAGCCTTTTTATTGGGTGTAGTAGGTGAAGAGATACAAAAAAAGATAAAAGACGGTTCATGTATGCAACAACGGCAGCAAGAACTCTTTTAGCCCCAAAATGGAAACAACAAGAAGTACCAACAAAAGAAGAGTGGAAGATGAAAATGATGGACTTTGCGGAACTGGCGAAGCTGATGGGGAAAATCCGAAACCAGCATGATCAAGTATTCCAAAAAGACTGAAGTAAATTTATACAATATTTGAAAGATCATTCTAAGCAATTAACAACATTGTTGTTGTTGTTTAGTCGTTTAGTCATGTCCGACTCTTCGTGACCCCATGGACCAGAGCACGCCAGGCACTTCTGTCTTCCACTGCCTCCCGCAGTTTGGTCAGACTCATGTTTGTAGCTTCGAGAACACTGTCCAACCATCTCGTCCTCTGCCACCCCTTCTCCTTGTGCCCTCCATCTTTCCCAACATCAGGGTCTTTTCCAGGGAGTCTTCTCTTCTCATGAGGTGGCCAAAGTATTGGAGCCTCAGCTTCAGGATCTGTCCTTCCAGTGAGCACTCAGGGCTGATTTCCTTAGGAATGGATACGTTTGATCTTCTTGCAGTCCATGGGACTCTCAAGAGTCTCCTCCAGCACCATAATTCAAAAGCATCAATTCTTCGGCGATCAGCCTTCTTTAGGGTCCAGCTCTCAACATTAGTAGGGTTTATCTGAAGACTTGTAATGCAAATTTTTTTACCTTTCTATATTTAAACTGTGAGGTATTTTGTAATGAGTTATATTAGAATTGGAAAATATATAAAATGCTGTGATATAGAGGTTAGTTTTGAAAGCCAAGGGGCGGGAGGGAAG